TAACTAGATTCATAAACACTTTTAACATCAATCATCTTTAAAAAGAATAATTAACGTTAAGTGAATCTAAATTATTTTGTTTTCTTTATTCATTCAAGATGAGAAATCACATTCTTAAAATCATAATAATGTTAAATTTTGGTGGAGCTAAAATTTATGATAGTATAACATTTCTTTCAGCATTTTTATTCAACATTTTTTTTTGGATTTACCGAGTTGTTAGCTGGTGTATTAGAGTTGGCTTCAAAATTAAAATTTCGAATTCAAATTTCAATTGTAAGTCAAAATTGAAAAGAAAAAAAGAAACTTTTAGACTTGGGCTGAGAAGACTATGGGAAAAGGGCCGGAGCGATTTTTTTTTCTCTTTAATTGGCCCAACAAAAAAAAAAAAAACAAACTTTTTTATTGGAATACTTGGCCATAACCCATTTTAAAAGTCTAATTTGGAATTTTGAGATATATACTATATGAAATTATTAAATTTATGACCACTTAAAAGATACTATAACTTGTATGAATTAAATTATAAATCCTTTTCCTGATAGCTACTCCCATTTTTTTTCTAACTTTCTCCACTATTTTTCCTAAAAAAAAAAAATGAAAAACAAAGAAGTGGACCTACAAAGTCAATTTTCACAAAGTGCATAATAGAAATAATCAAAGCTGGATTTGATTTTATATTTATGATATTTGACTCTAAAAGTAAAACCATCTATATTTGTCAAAACCAAAAAAGAAAGAAAATTTAATAAAATTATTAAAGGGTAGAAAATTATGTTCTTAACTTAATCAAAGATGAAATTTCATCGTTATCAAGAATTTATCAAGTCATCTTATCTTTATGATAAAAAAGGACTTGGTGGAAATGGGCTTACGTTTTTTCTTTTTTTTCGAGGCAAATGGAAGATAAACCTCAAACAATTCAAGAGCTAGAAATAGAATTAATCTTGAACCTGTGAAAATGAATGTTTAACTCAAGTAATAAAAAAAATATACTCTTTTTTTGATTGCATAAATTAAATCTGTTACAAGTATTTTTAGGTTTAAAGAGCAATTAAATTTCTTTTTTTTTACCATTAAAGATTATCAGCAAACAATCAAAATATTTTTTTGCTTTTCAACCTAGCTAACATATCAGGTTGACTTGTAGGTCCTCACCTTACCAGTCTATCCATTAGGCCCCTCTAAATGCTGACTTATCATTTTCAGAGTATATAATTAACATTTAAGTTAACTCAGTCTATCAAATTATCCTTGATTTTAGGATTGAGGTTGCCCATGTCTCCTCTCTATAAAGTATAAATAAGACCATTCAGGTACTATTTTACCCTCTTACTTTTTTTTACTTTTTTAAAATCTTTCTTACTATTATTTTTCTCTGTTGATCTCTGACTTGAGCTTTAAAATACAAATGTTATCCTTGAAAAGGTTGGCACAAACATAATCTATTGAAAGATTGTAAAAGAGATAATTTTTTTATAAATTTATAAAATTCAACATAAAAATTTTAAAAATCATTCTATCAATGTATATGATAATTTCTTGATCGTGGAGTCTAAAAATTCTATGGTGATTTTGTCGATAGATGTAATAATTTTTCTTAAAAAAAGTATATATATGGTCCCCTAATGACTAAGCAGGTAAAGAATCATTTTTCCAATAATGAAATGAGAGAGACAGATATCTACAAAGAGCAGAAACTCGTTTGCTTATGGTTAGAATGTCGCAACCTATGAAAGTTGTGCCCATGTCCCCATGCTTTCTTCTATATTTCTAAATTCTAAACCAAATCTTCCCTACTCTATTAAAAAAAAATTAAATACTATCTACACTTTTGCATGGTTAGTGAACAACATAAAATTTAAATGATGATCAACTTCTGTTATATATTTTCTTATCTCAAGTTTGGAGTGTGTTACATCCATCTTGTTATGCACTTTTTTGAATATCAATCTTTTTTTTTTTTTTTAATTTTGGTGGGTCTTTGTGATCCCTATTTATGTTGTTTTTATGACTAAGAATTGCATAAATATTTTTCAATTCAATGGTTTTCAATGAATGGATGTTATTAAAGTATTCATTTATTTACTATTAAAATATTTTCTTCAAAATTTAATTTATTATGATCAATCCCTTGCTTAAAAAATAAGCATAGAATCTCATTTAAATTAAAAATGTCGATTTATCTATATTATCTATCCTTTTGATAAGTCAAATTTTTTTTAAGTGTTTTGCTCATAATTTAGATAAGATTTTCGTGATGTACACGAGTGAAAAGTTTTATGTATATATATATTTTTTTACAAAAAAGTTACACTTCTCTAGAAGAAAGGATTGTAATCGATAAAATTTAGAATATTAAATCTATTAAATATCACTGTTTAATGATAATTATATATATCAATCGAATTAAGTTACGAATTTTTACTTTTTTTTTTTTAATTCTGATATTAGCTAATCAAAAGAAATTCTCATTTTTTATTAAAAAAAAAAGAAAAAAAAAAAAACAAGATGTTTTTTTGATTAAAACTTAAATTAAACGAAACGGCAGTCCTTAATGCCCAATGCAGGCACAGAAAATGAATCCAATAAAAATGTGGGAGGAAAAATCTATTCGACCTTGATTGCTGCTTCCTTGACCTTGTGCATGTGAGCAACTAGATCAAATATGACAGTGAAATTCCCTTTTTTTTTCTACATAATACAGTGAGGGATATTTCAAGACTTTGCTTATATCTATTTCTTTTTTTTTTAACAATTTTAAGAATATATTTTCGGTAGAACAAAAATTTAATCATGTCTTCATTATTTCTATCGATTTGATTTTGATGTATTCAAAATTTATTCTCAAATAATTTATAATAAGAATTAAACTTTGGTTAGCAAATAAAAAGAGTTTCTCTTTACCAATTTAGTGATATTTTCCTCGATTAAAAAAACAATAATCTAAAATACTCAAAGAACTTAGTAAGACAATAGCTAACAAGATATGGAAGATTGATATAAAATATTTCCAATGAATGGCTTGATGAATAAACAACTAGAGACAAAAAAAAAAAAATGAAAAAGGTGAGTGATGAGAACAAATCAACCGCACAATTGGGGTGGTGCGGTCATAACTGATATGGGCCAATGCTGCCCTTTGGGAGTGGATTGTGAGACTCGGTTTCTGGTTAGGGTCAGGACTCAGGAACTCCCAATCTACCCATCAATTGGATGATTGAAACCAAGATATCTATATTTTAAAAAAATAAATAAATAAACCATCAATTTTATATATTTCAGCTGTATCGGTTATCATAATAATCGGTTTAAGATTGAGTAATTGGTTGGTTGGATCAATTTGATTTGAAAATATTAATAATTAAATTAATCAATTATTATTAACCAAAAAATTGAATTAATTAAAATTTTTTAAATAATCGATCATAAATCAATTTAATTTGATCGATTAGATTAAATAAATAAAATTTTTATTATTTTTTATTATAAATAATTATTTAATTATAAATTTAATTTAATAAAATTTAAACTCATGTATCTTTTAAATTAAATCATTAAATAATTTAATAATTTCAATAAATTTTATAACAAAAAATAAATAAATATATTTATATTAATTTTTTTACCTTTATTTATTAAAAAATGGATTAATTTCATCAAATCGATTATCAATTTTAAAAATAAAAAACTAACCAAATTAATTAATTTAAAAAAAATTATTATAATCAAAATCAAATAAAATAAATCGAATTTACTTAATTTTAATCGATTTAATCGGTTAAAATTAATTTTTATTCACTCTAATTGGTTTGCACTAAAAAGAATGAATCTAGATAAGATTTCATTTAGATTACCAATGGATTTAGTCTAAAAATTACGGGATGAAACGGTAAAAATTTTCTTGTTTGATCGTTCAAACAAAAGTTAAAAAGTAAACAAAATCTACTCTTTGCTTTAATCAAAACCAATTGTAAGATTGTAAGAGTTGATGAAACATCAATTCATGACACCTATTCTTTTCTTCTGTTTTTGTTTTTCCTTGTTCATGGGATCAATTATCAATCTTAAAAAGGACTAACTCAGCTAGGCAAAGAAAACGAAACCAACTTGGAAATTTTTGAGACCTCAAGTATTTGTCAATAAAAAATTGGGCATTGCCTCAATTAATAAGTTGGATATCCTAATGTGATAGGGCATTTGGGTTTTTCAAATTGTTTGAAAAAGGGTTCATCTAGGTCTACCCCTATCCTATATATTTTAGATTGTTTGACTTTGGACAATGAAATTAACTTGTCACCTAATAAATACACACAAGACATACGTGAAGATCACCACCACCACCAGCTCTAATAATCAAAGAAGAAATTTTTGATAGAACCTTGTGAGGTCCATATCTTTATATATTTTTTTGTGGTTCCTTGAGATTTAGGAAATTCAATTACAAACCCAAATAGAGGGATGACAACGAATTAAAAAATAAATATAGATATTCGTATTATCCAATCAGATTATGTCGAATTTAAATACTTATGAATAAATAATTAATAAATTTAAATAATAAATTTATTATTTATGAAAAATTTAGATTTAGAAAGATTTCAAATAATACTTCTTTGTTAACAAATATTTCAGCACGTTTAAATTTTTAATGAATAGTATTGTATATTCAAATTTGTTATTTATTTACATATATAAAATTTATAAGAGTTTATATTTATGAAATGATTCAAATTTTGCAAACAATTTTTATTTATTTATTATTAATTAAAAATAAACTTGAATTTTAAATTTAAATTTTATTTATTTTATATTTTAGCAAAAAAATTAAGTTAAACAAATATTTTAATAAATTCAAATATTTAATGGTTAATACTTATTTAATTAGATACAAATTCAGATACTGATATTAAATTTAAATGAACAATTAAATAAATTTAAATACCATAAAAATTAAATAAATTCAAATACAAATAACTAAAAATTAATGGATATCCGCTTTATTACCATTTCTGGCCAAATATACATGGCAAAGGAAGTTTTTTCTCCTCATCCTTCCCAGCCTTGACTCTCATTTTATCTTTCTTTCTTCGTTCCTCACTCATTCTTCAATCTCTTGGGATTTTCGCTTGAATTATATGTCTAGACTTCGTGGGTTTGTCTCCTTTTGAACTTTCATTCAAGCTCATCTCCACTTCCTACCACGCGATGAACACAATGGCATTCAACAGTTAAAAACTATATATTTTTTTTTAGTGGTATGGACTTAATTTTCTTTAGGAGTTACGATGGATGACAAGAACCCAAAGTCAAGTTCTGGGAGATTTCGTAAATGGTTCAGAAGGAAGCACAAGCACAAGCATAAGCAACAACCTGATCGTTACTACCTGGATGAATTACATTCAGGTTTTTAGGTTTCTTAATTTCTCCTTTTTCACCATTGGTTTTGCCTCTTTTTATGTGAGTTTTTCTATTGGTTTTTGACTGCTGGGTATTTCTTGCAGGTGGAGGTGAAGATGAATGTGATGATTTCATGGAAGATGTTTACGTTAGTTCGTTTGAGATGGATCCATGCACTTCAACCAATGAGTTAAGGTGTGTTTTACAGGCTTAACATATATGGTTAAGGAAATAAAGGTTGAAGATATCGAATAGCTAACCAGTCCTCCACGTTTCAGAATTTTTGTCGGAACTTGGAATGTTGCTGGAAGATCTACTGTAGGAAGTTTAGCTGTTGGTTTAGATGAGTGGCTAAAACCCCAGGATGCTGCTGATATCTATGTTCTCGGGTATGAAATAATTCAAAAAATCATGTAAATGCTGTTAGTCTCTATATAATCAAAAGAAAGAATCAATCAACTAAATTGACACCAGAAAATTTAAACCCGCAGATTTCAAGAGATTGTACCATTGAAAACTCGAACCGGAGCAGAAGATCCGACTGAAGCAACAAATTGGAACATGCTAATAGGAAAAACACTTAATGAAAACTTTGGTTGCCCTTCGTTGACACCATTGTTGAATCCAATCTCAAGTGACAACTACCATTATGTAAAAATTCCTGGTTCTGGAAGAAAAGCTAGTTTTAGTGGAATAAGTAATGATAATACTCCGATTAGAGGGAGATCAAGAACTCAACATCAGCAGCGACCATTCATTGGGGGCAGCAAATACAAGCTAATGGCAAGCAAGAAAATGGTTGGAGTTTTTCTAAGTGTATGGATGAAGAAGGAATTGCTCAAGAAATACTGCATTTCAAATGTGAAAGTTAGTTCCGTGGCTTGTGGAATCATGGGTTATTTGGGAAACAAAGGTTCAGTTTCAGTTAGTATGTCAATTGAAGGAACCAGCTTTTGCTTCATTGCTGCTCACTTGGCTTCTGGTGAGAAGAATGGTGATGCAGGTTGAAGAAATCATCAAGTTTTGGAGATTTTTAGGCGAACTTCTTTTCCTCGATCAGCCAAAGAAGATAACAATCCTCGTCCTCTCACCATCTTAGGACATGAGTAAGTAATATTCTTCAAAACAAACAAAAGATTCAATCAAAATGAAGGATGAATGAAATCAGTCCCCAATGGATTGATATTAATTTGTATCACTCAATTTAGATGAGGCTCCAAAATTTTCAAAGAAAAATTCTCTATCCCTTAAGATTGCTAATGATTAAGAATCCGATTTATGAAATAAAATTTTATCATTTTCGTGGAGCAGTCGAATATTCTGGTTTGGGGATCTCAACTATAGGCTATGTAACTTGGAAGACAATCTAGCTAGGCATCTGATAAAGAAGCAAGACCGGAAAGCACTGCAGAAATTTGATCAGCTTCAAAAGGAACAAGAAGATGGAGGAGTATTGCAAGGTTGGAAAGAAGGAAACATCGAATTTGCTCCTCCATGTAAGTATTCTTCATCAAATTGCAATCACTACTCGGATGGCCTTCCCAACAGATCAGGAGAGAAACAAAGGACTCCAGCATGGTATATATTTTGCACTCAACCACCTTTTACATTATCAAATTAGGCACATAGTGACTACATATAAGACCTGAATTTATGACAAACTTTTAAGCATGATTTATGTGTCTGGTGGCAGGTGCGATAGGATTCTGTGGTACGGTAAAGGAGTGAAACTTTTATCCTACTTTCGCAGTGAAAAGTAAGGTTTCCGATCATCGGCCAGTCTCTGCCCTATTCTCAACACAGATAGAAGTCATGAACTCCATTGTAAGTTCTGCCATTCTTACCATAGCATAATTTTAGCATGTCTTTCCTACATATTATTACTGGTCAATGTACAGCATAGCAAGTTTTGAATTAAGTTTTGAAGTATGTGCATAAATCATGGTACAATAGACCGTATTTTCATTACAGGGGACAAGCAGAAATGATCAAGAGGGCAAATCTACATTGCTATCTTTGATTGTAAAGGGTACAGAAGCATCTTCAACACTCAAACACAAACTGTAGATATAACCTTATGAGAGTGGATTCAGCTAATTTATTTCACTGCAGGCCGGCTTTGAGGAGCCATTATTATTTCATAATCTTCCTTCTCTTTTTTTCTCTTCCTTTTATTGGACAGGATTATATGACTTGGTTATTATTTAGATCCACGGATGAAAACTAGTGTCTATAATTCAATAAATATAAGTAAAAATTATCAAAGAAATGAACAATAAGAAAGAACTGAGATACTTGAAGCCTCTTGTTCAGAATGATAAGAGAGTTTCCAAAGAGAATATTAAAGGTTTGAGCATTGGAATTCTTTTAAAATTTTGTCAATAAGAAGCTGAAAAAGAAAAATCAGTTCAAACAACGGTATATCTTTTCGCACCTTGTGCATTGAATAGGAGGTACTGTCTTTATCCCTTATCTCAACTTTAGGGCACCAATTGCGGCCATGCCATTTTATCAAGTGCCATAAATGTATAGTCCCAAAAATTCTCGTGCAATTTTATATTTAAAGACATCAATAGCACGGAGGCAATGTTAGTATGTAAAAGACTTACAACAGATCAATTTGCCTCATTTGACTGAAGAATTCCACCCAAGGCCTCCACATTAACTGAATGACAACTAGGACATATACACTTCTTCTGCAACTCCTTGCTGAGGGAAGCACATATCTTTTCCATTTCAGAAGCCTGCTTGTTTCCAGTCAAGGAGATATTTTACAAGTACTAGTTTTTCATCACAAAAGATGTTAGCTGGAGCAGCACCTCCAAGGAAAAAAAAACAATAAAAGCCAGCATAAATATTCAAATCTATACTTCTTTGGCTAACCCAGACGGTGCTCAGATTATAATATTTTCCAGCAGTAAAAAGATCCAACCTTGATTTCTAAGGCAATCAGAATATAAGAACTCAAAAAAATTTTTCAACTTCTAGTAGTTATTGGCTTCCAGAATTTTGTTCTTTCCCGTCATTTTCTTGATAATGAAATATAGAATTAACTAGCCAAGAAAACAACTTACTGGTATTTGAAGTAATCAACTCGACTTTTGTTTAGATGGGTTTGTCACATGTAAAAAATGCTCTGAGATAATTAATGTATGATTTATTAGCAAAATATGCACAAGAAATTTTTTTTTTCCCATCAAACTTTTTTTTGTCAAGACTTTATGTTTAATTAATGAAACTTCAATGTGTAGTTCCAAATGCAAATGTGATTAGGATATCCTGTCAAGTCCTCCAATGCTTTTGTTTCTTGCATCATTGCCTCCATCAGACACACCTTCCTTTCAGTGTCAATCAACTCCAGCTGAAACTGCATGGTTCTCAGACCACTTGCTCATTCCCAGATTATTTTAAGGAAGGAGGGTATAGAAGAATGAAGACTCAAATAATTTCAGCAACTAAGCTAGAAACATCTAGACTTTTTGACAGTGCATCTTATTAGTAATATTTCTAGTGCACAAAAGACTAGTTACCTGCTTTTGGATATTCTGTTGTGCAAGGTATTCTTCCTCCTCTTTAGCTATTTGAGAGAGAATGTGGGCAACCTGATCCTCAATAGTTCGTGAAGCAATTTCAGTAACTTCCTTCTTTACAAATTTATGGCCTTCTTCTGAAACACATGTAAACATTCCTTCAGTTTTTTATACATGGAAATAGAAGACAGGGAAAAAAAGAAAGAAATCAGTTAAAATTTTAGACGCACTACTTGCTTTGTAGCTATCCTGCAACAAAAACCTTGTAGTTTTATGTTTACATGATAAATGTCTATCTAAAACATAGCCACTCTATTATTTGCAAATTATCAAGATGACCAATCTATATAAAGTACTTGTGTTTGACATAGCTGTGAAGACTAAATTTTGACTTAAGCTTAACTACCTCAAGAAGTGAGAGTTATTTGTGATAAAATATTAGTAACAAACAAGCTTTTTGGTATTGCCTTGAGTTTGGTCATGCAATAAGAAGCATAAAGTTATAGATTTGTGTAACTAACATAAAGGCTTATGATTATAAAGGAAAGATCAAAATGGAGAAATCAGTTAAAATTTTAGACACACTGTCTGCTTTGTAAATATACTGGAATGAAAACCTTGTAGTTTTATGTTTACATGATAAAACATAGCCACTCTATTATTTGCGAATTGCCAAGATGACCAATCTATATAAAGCACTTGTTGTTTGACCTAGCTGTGAAGACTAAATTTTGACTTAAGCTTAACCACCTCAAGAAATGGGAGTTATTTGTGATACACCATCAGTAACAAACAAGCTTTTCGGCATTACCTTGAGTTTGGTCATGCAATAGGAAGCATAAAGTTATAGATTTCTGTAACTATAATAAAGCTTAAGATTATAAAGGAAGGATCAAAATGTTCGATTAGAAGTTGCATTTTCTTGAAGCAATATGATTCATTTCAACTAAAAATATAATTAGAACAAATCTGATGTCCTTAATAAGATTAGTGTAGATGGGAAAAAGATGAAAACTACCTGCTGCATTACCAACAGTGTTCTTGTTCTGGAAACCAGAATCTATTGTCTCTTGGAATTTCCTGGGTAACAAGCAACATTTCATTAATAAGTCCTTTCAAACAAGGGCGCATACTAAAGTATATTAGAATCGTAAACTCACAGCAAATCAGAAATCATCAAATATTGGTGGAATGAATGAACAAGCAAATAATAATGATCCTCTAGTTAAGTTTCTTCTTACACAATACGAGATTCCCTAAATTATTTTTGCTACTAGGCTCTCCCCACCCTTGTTTTATGGCTCCATCGATCTACATGTTTTTCCATATCATGCAATACAAAACCTATTTAATGAGGATATTGACATTTACCTCAACCAAAAAGCAGTAAAAACTGCAATTACAGACTGGTTCATGGTAAGAAATACATTCAAATGCGAAAATTAAAAATCAGATAATAAATTCATCAAACAGCTAGATCCAACACATAGCTATGAAGAGAAGAACATAATAAGCTAATGCAAGGATTCAAATAATTTACACCAAACCTTATCTTAGTGTTGAACTCAACCATTTGACTGATGAACTCATCTCTGCAAAAATATTAACAAGACATAGAATCAGCAGTTATTCTTTTTTATAAATATAAAAAAAAATTAAAAAAAGTGGTTTCTTTACCTTAATGCTGCTTCTTTATTCTTCGAATAATTCATGCAAAATTTCAAATAAATAGTTAATAAGCACAAAAACAAAAATTAATCATGATTCAGATAATAAAAAATCACAAAAACGAGGACGTTTTAATACCTTAAGCTCCTCTACTTCAGATCCAACGGTGGATATTTCATCTTGAATGTGAGAAATCCTCGCCTACAAATAATTTTCTTTTAAAAAAAGTTTTAAAACAAATTAGTTAAGAAAGCTTTCAAAAAAATGTAAAAACAACGGACCTCTAGGGCTTGAACCGAAGCTTTGTTCAACGCTAATTCAAATTCAAATCCTTTAAGCTCCTGCTCAGTTGTTTCTTTTAAACGTTTCGCTTCTTCATGCTCTGCATTCGCTGCTTCAAGCTCCGATCGGAGATCTTCGATTTGCTTCTTCAATCCAACCACTCTTCTCTCTACACGTGTTCGCTCCAAACATCTCAAAAAAAAAACTCCACTTATTTTACAAATAAAATATAGAAAAATGAAAAAGAAAAAGACGAAAAAGATTTGATTCAATTTTATTCTCATTTCTTTTCAGCATTTTCTCGGGAAAAGAGCAGAAAACACATATGACAAATGTAAAGGAAACGATTACCTCCTTGAGATTTCTCAGAAGCGAAGTCGCGGATTAGAGAAATGAGATTTTTTGGTGGATCAGTTCCCGCCATTTTTGCTTTTGCTTCCTGTTTTGGACAAAAGAAATTTGAAGAAACGAGCGCCCTTTTGAAAAGGAACGGCATGTACAGCAACAAAAGTAATTTAAAAAAATTTATTTATAATCAATTGAAAACTAAGGTTTAGGGCTAGGCTTTAATTTTTTCTCTATGAGGCTAAATCTTGGGCCTAAAGCAAAGCCTAATTTGGGTAAATTTTAGGGCTTAGGCCTCATAGAGGGTTCATCAAATCTAGGACCTAAGCCCGAAATTTAGCTATGCATATGGAACAAGTAATTTTAACAAAACAATAATTTATGAATTTCTATTTGATTCACCTACTGTTTGACCTCTAGCAGTTTGTATCATAAAAATATTAATAATTTATATATTAATTTTATTTTATATGAAAATTAAATATCATAATTCATATCAATATAAAAATATAAAATATTTTTTTTATTTATTAAATTTATATATAATTTTTATTAAAATTTTAAACATCATCTTCATTTTGTTATTATATTCTTATCATATCAATATATCATATTTTATATTATTAAATCTACATATAATATATATATATATATTTCATACACATCAATCAATTAAATTTTATTATCTCATTAATAACTAATTTTTAATATTTAATTTTAAAAAATTTATTGTTATCATCGAAAATGAACACGTGTGTTATTTACGTGCCTTAACTTACTTGACAACTATTACTTGGACAAATAATTACACATGTTAGTTTCCATTTGACAAAATTTTCCAACTTGGCAATATTTTTTGGGCAAAACGGTGTCGAATGTGGAATTGACTTCATTTTTCTTTTGGATTTCATTCATCCAATGTCATGCACGGCCCTCGTAACCCGTCTTGAGCTTTTCACCGCTCTGTTGGCGGGTCCATGAAAATTCTTCGTTCGGCCGAAGTGTCGATATCCAACATGTGAATAGCCTGCTAGTTTCAATAATAGTGTCCCTAACAATTAAGCACGCTTGAAAAGCACAACACCAAAGTTGTATCCTCATCACATTCCTAACAAGGGAATTGATTACTCAGCCCACCCGGAACACCTGGGAACCCGACAAACAACACGGTCCTGGGAGAGCAGCCTTTTTTTCTGGTTCAAACTTTGAGCGTTGATCAAACCTTTTGCTCTTTGTGGAGAAATTAATGAAAGAAAATGATGGGCGATGGTGACTTCTGCTGTTCTATGCAATATGACACTGTGTTGAGATTTTTTTCTTCCCCTTTTTCGTCAGTTTGTTCCATTCCAAACAGTTTACATTGATCATGGCATACCTCATATGACAATATCGGATATTGATCAGTGAAAACAATCTGATTTTTGTATAATTGGCAGACCATAAAGCATATAATATAGAGAAATCAACCTTTTTTCCTGTTTTGTAAACAATCTATCTTTTGTTTGTTTGAGATCAGCCATGTGCTTAGGTGGAGAAGATAAAAAATGAAAAGAAAAAAAAAAAAAACTACAGCACAGGAGAAAATCTATGCGCATTTTTTCAATGGGGACGAATATTCATGATTCATTAGTGACAGTGAGAAGCAAAAGTGACGACATTGCTCTTCCACTATTAAAGTTTCATTCGGATTTTAATGATAAATATATCGAATCCACCAACTTTATTGTGCTCAAATTAATAAGCAACAACTTGTTGTTACAGTTCAATCAGGCAATCTTTTGTCGCAAAGTTTTTGCATAACAAGTATATACTATTTGCTTAAATTGTGAATCGCCACCAACTAAATCATAAGCTCTTAAAAGTGATTTCATGTTCTGGAGAATATATTGTCTTTTAAAGAGATTTTGCATACTGTTGATGTAGTTTATGATGTAATTAATGATCCAGTGGACGAGGAACCTGCTGGAGATTGAGATGGAAATTGTGACGACGTGTCATAGAGAAAGTCAAGAGATATCGATAATTGTTTCGAGATGTGCTTCGATACTCAAATCAGACTTATATATATATAAATAAAAACAGTTACCTTTGTATCTCATAGTTGATGACGGGATTAGTTGAACAGTTACATATAAATCTTAACAGCCAAAGTTGTTACTGATGTGGCCACTAAGACATAACATATACCAAAATTACACGTAGAAAAGCATCACTGAGCTGGATTTTCAGTATAGGCACCAACTGTTATGGCACAGATGCAAAGTTCAGTGGGATTAAACTGCTGCCATTTTTGGAAACAAAGTACCTCTTTAAGCATTTGGAAGAAATTCCGTATATGTTCTTTTTGCAGAACTGATTTCATTTTGAGACAGAATCGGTTGGTTGCAGTATTTTCTTATATTTAAGTCACCATTGTTCCTTGAAATAGGCCTAAGCCTATACAATTCAAAAAGTGTTTGGTCTGATGTGAGGTTCTGATTGATGTTAAATGTTAATAAATAGATGGTAGTGGGGGGATTGAGAAAAAGGTTATCAACTATCAATCAAATTCTTCAATTTTCCTTCTATGATTGATAGCAAATATTTCCTCTAATGGTGGTATGAGCTGATATTTCCTGTTCTACATGTTAATCAATGCTGCTAGCAATAATTTTGAGGACATCAAAATAGGGCAAGCACATAAATAAAGTCACTGGAATTATTGCTCAATATGATAACTTCCTAGTAAATGTAATGCAATTCTAGGTAGTCATCATCTACGTTGTTCGGACTCTTCATTTTTCTTGAACAATATGTAGTATAGGGCTTGACCCTCAAAATATATAGAAAATCTTAAAATAAATTATACATGTTTATGTCGGTCACATATCTATACAATATCAACACTTATCCCGAATTCGAGTAACATAGGTCACCGTCATCTCTTTCTTGAGATTTTTTAAGCAGAAACAAATTTCACAATGAGATTAATATAAAATAAATCACATGCAAAAAATAATATTTAACGTAATTCAGTCTAATTATCTACATCTATGAATAAGAGAGTTAATCCATTATAAAAACATAGAGATTATAATAAGTACAAAACACCATAAATAAATATTAATCTCGAGCCTCTTAAACAATCTTAGTTTCCATACACTTTAATGTATAACGTATAGAATATCATTTATCTTATGCAACCGGTGTTTTCCTAAACAAATTCTTTTTAACATCCCTATAGACTTATCTCCCATATAGAGATCTTATAACTCATTCTCATAATTCTAAAAGTTAATACTCCATATTTATAAAGCTCCATTACTTACTCACCAAAAATTCGTATTTACTAAGAACTCTTACCCATAAAGAATATTTATGCTTAATTACCAAATAATTCTTTAACTAATACAATTTCACTAAAATTCATACTGATTCCCAATTTTGATTCATAATTAAAATTTGAGTCAATATCTAACAAATCTTTACCTTAAACACAAATTCTACCACAACATTTACCTTTAAGAAATCCTGACTACACATAATCGAATCAGTGTTGACTCTACCTGATTCAAACAAGATAGCCAATACTCATATGTAGCCAAATCAACTTTACTTAGTTGACTCCACTTACAACAAATGTCTTGTAACAGCATCTTCTCTTGCATATCTTCAATATCATGAACACAATCTGCAACAATGAATCCCCTTCCACAATCAATGTAGGATAACCTTAACAATCTTCCTATTTCGCACAATAGGCCATAGGAGAGAGCTTCTATACTCGACTCGAGAGAAGATGTTTGTAACCTAACTCTAACACCACTTGTTGAGATTTTTTCAGCAGAAACAAATTTCATAATGAGATCAATACAAAATAAATCACATGTAATAGGTAATATTTAATATGGTTCGCCCCAATGGCTTACATCCATGGATAAGAGAGTAAATCTACTATAAAAACATAAAGATTATAAAAAGTATAAAATATTATAAACAAACACTAATCTCGAGCCTCTAAAACAATCATAATTTCCATGCTCCCTAGCATATAACCTATGAAATATCCTCTGTTTCATTCAACCGATGTTTTTTCAAACAAATTCTTTTTTACATCCCTATAGATTTATTTTTCATAAAGAAATCTTATAATTCCTTTTCATAATTTTAAAAGTTAATACTCACTTCATATTTATAAAGCTCTATTATTTAATAACCAGAAATTCTTATTTACTAAGAACTCTTACTTATTAAGAATATTTATTCTTAATTACTAAATAATTTTTTAACTAACAAAATTTCACTAAAATTCAAACTAATTCCTAATTAAAATTTGAGTCAATATCTAACACTCTTCTTGTTTCTTGCTCTAAATTTAAGCGTGGACAACTCTTATTTGATGTTCTGACTAATTAACTTCAATCTTGCTGCTGGATATTAAATATTAAGGAAAGGAAAAGGCAGTAAATGGTATAATATATGACATTGTGGACCTGTTTTTAGCATTCCTAGTAAACTGTGCTGATCTCCCCATCTCTCTTTGAGAAGAGTGAACGATGGTAGCTGCTGCAATGTAATTCAGTTACAGTGCTGGTAGGGGTCCCTTGCTGCTACCCAAAGAAAGGGACAAGACTAGACTTAGCCATTGAGAAAGCATATCTAAAGCTCCACCACAGCTTTATCACAATTCCGAATCCATAAGAACAGCTCCCTTAGCTTTTGGCAGAATCTTTTCCCATTTATAGGAAAACCCAGCATTTCTTCTTTGATTATTTCAGAAATGAAATGTAGAGCCTTCAAGATATCAACTACAACCACCATCTCCGTATCCTCACCATCATCATCATCATCATCTCCACCACTACTGCCACCATCGACTGTTTCTAATAATGGCGAATTCGGAATTTTCTTTTCAAGAGTGATCATTTAAAATATATATATATATATATATATTACCGATAGATTTATCAATTTTTTCAACGCAAAGGGTGTTTAAAAAAATTTTTTTAAGGTTGTTCAAGGAAATTTCTCCTTTAAATTTTTTTATTTTTCAATCTTTAAAGGTGTTTATAAACATATTACTTTTTCATTTGGATCCCCCACTAGTGTCTAAAGCAGCAAAAGAAGCTATAAACTTATAACT